AAAGAGTGTGGCTCCGTCATGTCTTGCAATGCCAATTCCGCCGCTGCTCAGGTTGTTCGTTATGAGCGAGCCACTGGGAAGCTTTTCAGTGTGGTGGAGGATGATGAGCCTAAGGACTTTTGGGTTGCGCTTTTGAACAACCACGTGTTGGGGGAGAATGATGATGGTGAGGACAAAATGGAGCTAGTTCGCCCCCGGAGGGTTGAGGACTATGATTTGGATTTCGCCATTTTTCATAAGGCGCTTGCTGGTGGGGTTGTTCCGCCTTTCGCTTTGTCCAATGCTGGATCGGAGAATTGCCTTCCGGCTAGGGAGAATGGTTGGGGGAGATTGACAAGGAAGCTTGCTAGTGGTATCATGAAAGGGTTGTTCACATCTTCTAAGTGCTGTGAGTCGGGTGTGAACAATGTGGAAGAGGAAGTTTACCTTAAGAATGTTGATTCTGTGCCACTGCCAAAGGATAATGTTCAAGTGATGGACCACTTTGTTGTTGCTGGTGTTGGTTCGGCAGCACTGCCACCATCTCCTCGTGCGTTTGCTTGTTTTCTAAGGAACAGCCCCAAATTGAGCTCCCAGTCGCCAACAATTTCGCCCAACAGTTCTGATTGTGCCAGTTCCTTTTCATTTTCGCCGTCATCCACTGACTTTTCGCTCCTGTCTCCTCGGCTGCCATCCCCTTCCGGCGTGGAATCAGTTGAACCCTTTTATGTCAAAGATGCACCTTCCTCTGAGAGTTGTGCTTTACTTCAGACCAAAGCTGTGTCTTCATCCTCAGAGGAGGCGCTTTTGGCTAATGACACCTTGGTAGGGGCAAAGTCCATTTTGCCGCGCAAAGGATCTTACCCTTCCATTGCCGAGCGCAGAGGGAGTAAGCCGCCCCCCATGTTGCTGCCCTCAGCCAGCGAGTCGTCCCGTGCCAGCAAGATCAGGGTAAGATCCGGATCATTCTCATTGGCTGCCTCGAATGATACTTTGATGGAGGATGTTGTTGCAAGCAATCTGACCCGGAAAACAGGGGAAGATAGCTAATATGAGGTGTTGGTATCATTAGTACCGCTGTTGAGACTGAGGTTAATGGCAGAGGATCATTGTAGTAGGTTAATGGCAGAAAAAACTGTCATCTAAGATAGGTTATTTATGTTTTAAGTAGAACAAGAGTTATAAGAGAAAGTTAACTTGATTATAATCGTTCAGTCCCTTCCTGTATAGATTTAGCCATAGTTTGGCTCAAATGATATGTTTTTGGAGGTGAACTTTCACTCCTCTTTGAATATTGGTGCATGCCTGCAATGTCTAGGCTTAGCAATAATAACCACACAAGTATGCAGGCAATGCACCGGTAGAATCTTAAAGTTCACAAGAATTATCAAATTTAAATGAATATAAAGTCTATTTTTCTCTTCATTTTTGGCTGTTTTTCTTGTTCGATCTTGTTTGTTCCAGCTACCTGCCGGTATGAAAGATTAGATGTTACATTTTTTTAATGAAATTTGTTCATTTTAATTCCATGATCATTATCATTGCAGAAGGGCAATGGTTCGCAAAATCAATATAAAATTAGTGCAAAAAGGTCACCTTTGTAGGGAATCATTAGTAGATAATAGATGTTATCATCATCCTTTACTAGTTACTGTTTCCACTAATAAATTAAAAATAAGCTTCAGAAACAATATTCTACTTTCGTGGTTTATATGAATGGCATCAACTATGACTGAACGTCAAACTACAATAATATTCTCCGACTTAACCTACAAGATCCTACTTAGTTTTCAGGGACACTGCACATAATGGCATCCGAAAGAGGTATTATAAGACCCCAAATTTCTTTCCAACCATGGCAAAGGGTAATGTTAATATTTTTGTCCATATATAGAAAGATACACATAACATGCGCAAAAGTGACAAACAGAGCAGACATAGCTCTTGAAAATGGTATCGTTTGACCTTTTCTTTCTTTCAAAGAGACATGACGTGATGTATTTATATTTCTAGAGTCCTTACCTTTTGTAGAGACATGAGACCTTTTCTTAAGATATTGTTGCATGCAACTTTCTTTGGCAGTTTGATTACCCACAAGTTGTTCGTCAATGCCACCGTTAGTTGCTTTTGCCATCAACCATCAAAAGTGAAAGCGACTAATTTGCTGAATCCGAGTTGCCTACCATATCTGCACACCATCAAGCGATAAGTAAAGTTTCCACAAACGGAATACTGGCCGTTTCCAAGTATATTTTTTTATTTGTTGTTACTTGTTTTGCTTTATCACAATTTTGGTCCCTTTAATTTAGACTCTGCAATTTTAATCCTTAGGAATACATTGTTAGACAAAAGCTACACGGTAGGATACCCCAATGGCCAAATCTAAAAATATCAAACTCACTGCCGAATTTAATTCGCACATATTTCTTTACATCATGTCTACCACATAATTTTCTCTACTATGCAAGCTTCACCAAAAAATATATGTGGAAATGAAGGTGTGAGAAAAAAAAAATCAAATGAGGAACTCTACCTCTTACCATCTTATCCAAAAGGAGATATTGGTCAGAGTCGGACTGTACACAAGAGTAAAACCCATTCTCATTTATTTTCTTCCAAAAATTAAATGGATATTTAAAACAGGTTCCGGCCGAATATCATTCAGCTTCATACCGTGATAATTCCCCAATCTGCACAGAGATGAACGCTAAAAGTAGTGAACTTATGCGTAAATTTTGTATAATAGTCCAAGGCAGATAATAATATCTTCTCCCTGGATAAATGAAGAAAGTAATCAAGTTAAAGAACCCAAAAAATGTTCAATTAGTCTAATAACTTCTTCTAAAGTTCAAAAAGAAACAATTTCGAGCTGAAAAGAGAGATCCCTAGAGAATCATATTCTTACATTATTCTTTGCAAAAGGTGAAAGCCCTCCATAATGCATTTGACCTTGGAGATACATTTGATTAGAACTGAGATAGTTTGGGCTTTGGAGTGAGGTTAATACTACTAGTGCTCAAACTAAAAGTGACCAAGTGAAACATATAGAGTCCTTATCACTTCTACATCGTTCATCGGATAACAACTGGATCTATTCCAGGATGAGATTACCTTATGCTTCAACTATTGAGCATCCCAAATTTGTAAAACGGAGTTCCTCCCTGGAGTTGGATAGTGCTTTCCAAATTACAGAGTTATACTTGCTTATTAGTTAATTTGTTAGGATCATTGGACTCTAGAGTACAAACTCATGAACATGGTTCAATTATCCAAACAAGACATTTATTTCAAATTGATTTTCAATCAAATTATATTTTGTTATCCGTACTCCGTTTTAAAGAAAACTATTTTATTTGCATAACTAATTAAACACAGGCTGACTCGTGTTCTTGTTTGATCTTAATATTTTCTCACCTGCTTCCACTGCAGGTCATGATTTTCCCAACCGTGCTTGTTAGTTAGTTCGTATGTGCGAAGCTCAAAAGTCAGAACTAGTATTAATTACCAAGCAAAAATAGAGAACAATTTACGCTCTGTTGAGGATCCTAGCTGTTAATATATAGGAATGCTACAGACCTACCGTTGAGTCTTACTGATTTTAGTTACAATATATCATTAGTTTTAATTGCTAGTCCTGTGTATTTTGCAGCTGCAAAAGCTTCTTTCATATATATCAGAGAACAGTGACTGAACGAGTCAAGATTCCATTGTTCATCTATTCGGTCTATTGACTCTTTTAAGTTTCAATACTTGCTATAAATTGAAAGATAGGAACTGTACAAACAAGCTAGTTAAGGTGAATGCTACTGTATCACAATAGGGTCATTGTCCCATTCACCTTCCTTCTTTTTCTTTTTTAGTACAAGTGTACAACTAAAGCACTAAAGTTTAAACATGAAATATTTAACAAACTACTTGTGCTCCACACACCATTAAACTACCTTAACAGCTTAACCTTTCTATTTTTTCTTCAGTGGGAGGGGAGGATGGCATTACTGAGATTCCACAACCTGTACATGAAAATCAATTGCCTTCTTTGGTCTTGGTCTGGCAAATGCTTTACGTGTTAAGTAGACTTTGCCTGCGTACAGACCACATCAATCACATGAGATTGATATTCTAGTCATTATAGGAAGACGTAAATGAAAATCATCTTCTGAAAAAGGAGGGGAGGTGGAGACAACAACAACAATAAAGGAAGCAACTACCAAACACCAAGTTTCCATTATAAATTAAGTAATATCCAAAAACTAAAAAGTGCTAAATTTTAGTTGGGTAACAGAAACAGCTGCAGAATGCTTTACCAGAATTTTTTTTTTTGTAGAAATGTAGAGTACAAGAAAATTGGATTGGAATTCTTTCAAGTGCAAAAATAACTCAAAGAAAGTTTTAGAAATCAAGGGAAATTGGTAATAAATATAAAAATATTCCCAAATTTCTTTTTTCCTTAATTTAATTTTATTAATGGTTTGGTAGCCATATATTGATGACAAGCAAAGAGTTTTTATGAGAAATATCCATAACCTGCACGGTAATGCCAACTCATTTTGTGTTGGCAATATCAACACTCTTTTCACCGAAATTGTAGTCCATAATCTTCAAAATTCAAATTTGTAAAGTAGAAAGTTCACAATTAGATGGAGCTGAGTGTTGCCTACATGTAAAAGCTTTCCCAAGTAAACACTTCTCTTTGCAAGCATGACTGTTAGGATGACAGGAACCATTGCAGCAGACAAATGCTTGAGTGTGTGACCGCTGACAATATGAAAAGTCAACATATAAATTGCTTTATCGGCAGCCTCTTGCAGCAGAGCTAGAAGATAAAATCCTGCCAAGATTTAAATTGAAATTGAGGGTAATTGAAAAAAGTATCTGCATTAATCGAAAAAGCTATTATACAATACCAAAAGTACAAACCTGAAGCCCAGAGCCAATATGTTGAATGCGTATACATTGGAGGCAACAAAGCAGCCATGAGAGGTATGGCAATGCATGATGCACCTTGGGCCAGAAGATATAAACGGATGTCACCAAAGAATCTTCATAAAAATAAAAAATAAAAATAAAAAAAAGAACGGGTGAGAAATGTAGCAGCTCTTCTCAAGAGCTGAAGTTCAGTAAACTGGATGCTCAGTTACTACAGTGTTAAGAACTTTTTATTTTTGGTTCATCCATGAAGTATCCACCGCCGATAGCAGTGACTAATCTCCTCGCTACGTTAGAAGCACCTCAAATGGTGCCCCAAGATTTAACACGGCTGCATACACAAGACAGGATTCGAACCCCAAACCTTACTTAAGCATGGATCAACCCCTACCGCTGAACCACACGCTTGGAGTTCTAGCGTGTTAAGAACTAGCCTAACTTTTGGCATAATCTTTAACCAAACGATGTTGTCACTCGCAATAAATCCAATATCTTAATAAAGACTATGCTTATAGAGCTAGCAACATTTTAGAACACTACTAAAAGACCTATTTGAATAAACTTCTTCGAAGTACTAATAACTGCTTCTGGAACAACTTATATGCAATTCTGAGTGCTTTTGGTGTTATTTTCTAATTATGTGGAAATTCAATTTTAATTAAAAAACAATACTAAACATATTAAAAAAACTGTAGCTAAATTTTGTCCAACTTTTTATTTATCCGTATGAAGAACCATTTCAATGAAAAATGTCCAACTAATGCAACAGGATAAGGAAAAGAACTCATGCAAATAGAAGAATTGAAGAAGTGGGCTTGCCTCCAATACACACTGCACATTATGCCCGCTGTAATTAGAGGTACAATTGAAATCGTTCCCTTCTTCGCATCAATCCTTTCAATGATGAGGATTGCCAACAGAGAACCAAAAGCAACACTCATCTTCAAAAACAGACATTAATCAAGGAATCAAAATTGTGAAACTAAAACGAGAAAATTAAGGTTTCAACAACAATGGCTGAATTGTATTAAAAATCTATAGGAGAAACTCACCGGCAGCCTATCCCACACAAGGCCTGCATCCTCTGGGTCAAGATGATAGTATGAAGACCCAAAAGTAACTGAAATCACACCAACATAAAAGCATGTCCAACCCCATTTTTCACCTTGCAAACTAATGCCACGCTGTGTTAATTATACAACTGACAACAACAATCACATAAGCTAAAGGAATCGATGGTGACAAAATGAAAATACCTGAGGTTGAAATAGTTCCCTCGATGGCAAAGCACAAGGCCAATAAGACCAATAACCATGAATGGGAAATTTGATATCACGTTAAGTGCATTGGGAATGCCTGATGTTCACATTTTTATGTTATCAATCAACCAATTAAAAATCGACTTTTAAAGTAATCCATTTATAATTCAACAATGTTACGTTACAAGACAAGTTCACATTTTTAAGGGTACTTTGCTGGAAATGAAAGGGTAAAAATAGTTTTGATGAAAAATTACCGAAGAATTGGCGCTTGTCAGCGAAATCATGGTATCGCTGAGGCTGAGGAATGGATGGGGTTAGGAGGATGAGTAGAAGGATGCAAGCAAGCGCGAGTACCAATGCTTGCACAGTGCATTTTCTCATTTGTGTTGCAGCTTGAGATTAGATGGGAATGGGAAGAGAGAAAGTGAGTTAGAGAGAAGCGAGTGGATGAGAAGGCATCATATTCATGTAGGAGGAAGGAGACGGTGGACGGTGTGGCGGTGGTGAATAGCGCCATCCGCATAACGATGATTAATCTATTTTGATTTTTAATCCTCCGAGAAAGATCAAGTGAGGATAACTCCGCAAAAGAATCCTTCATTTTATTTTGAGTAAATAACAATATACTATAATCTAATTTTGGTCTTTATTTTATTATAAATTTTGATTTAGTTGTTTGTTTTTTTAAAAATTATTTTCGTCTTTCGATTTTTAAATTTATAACTTTAATTTTATTAAAAAATAATCCTTGGAAAATTATATTTAAATTTGTTTCATAATATAAAAGTAGATAAAAATTCCATCAGATAAATATAATGTTTTTAAAAAACAAAATTTATCATCAAATTGATGTACTAGAAATCCTAATAATTGGATAGAAAGAGATTAAAATATTGGAGGTACAAGACTCTAGATTTAATCCTTATTATAATCATTTTATAATATTTTTTTTTGAAAAAAAATTGACGTGAAAGATGTTAAATTTATGGGTAACTGCATAACTCTAACCTCTATTAATTCTATTTTAAAAAATATTTATATTATATATTTATATTTATAAATTTTAATAAAACTCATAACATGTTTTAAAGAAGAGCTCCTAAAATAAATTATAATTTATCTAATAATAAAAAAATAATAATTAAATTGTATAAATTAATATAGAATTTTAATTTAAAATATATTATATTAAGTTATTTAAATTAATTGTATAGCAATAACATAGATTAAGTATATAACAATAAAATATGTTAAATTCTATCTTAATATATTATTCGAGTTAGTCTAGTAGTTAGGTGAAAGGTTGGGATAATTAGAAGAATGAGAATTTAGATTCAATTCTCATTACTATCATTTTTATAATTTTTTTTATAAAAAAATCTATCTTAATAAAACATAATTTAATATAATATATATTATATTTGTAACGCATTATAATCTCAAATTAATTGACTTAATCTATACATATTATAAAGAAAATATTAGAACATATAACAGTTTTTAGTCCCCATGTTTTAGTAGGTCATTATCCTTCTCAAAT